TGCTATCAGCCCCCTTTCAGGGCAGAAGGACCTGAGCGTTAATGCCATACTGCTACCTGCATGGGTGCCAAGCACCCAAGGCCCCAAGCAGAATCACAGACCCCAGCTTGTGCTTTATGTGCTAAAGATAAGCTGCACCAAGGAGCCACACACCCCAGAGATGTTGGAGACCAAACCGGTTCTGGATAAACCGACTGGAATGGATTTGTCTGACCTGGCCTTGAGCAGAAAGATCTCTTTATGGACACTACTACCACAGGACAAACTCTTCCCATCATAAAGTACACAAGAAAGGAACACAAAGGTGATGCCCCCTATAGCCGTCTCCCATCTGGACTGAAGATCCCACCGACAGATCCTTGCTGTGCGACAGAAGCACATCATCTTAGATGGAAGGACATCAGCAAGGACTAAACCCCCCTGAAACCTCATTGATCTTTCAAGAAAGAATTATACTTTCAGGATAGGCAGTGGTGTTGCAACATGGTTTTAATATCACAACTGTAAAATGTTCTATTATATGATTGATCTGTTGCATAAGCATCCACACAGGGACAGATCCTGCTGCCACTGAAATCAGAGCAGTGGTTTTGGTGCTGCCCAAACATCTGCACAGCCACCAGGGAGCCAGTGCCTGTGCGCGTCCTCTGCTCCCTTGCTCTGCTTCCCACTGGAGCCTGTCCTGACCAGCAGCAGGAAGAGTGCTGCAGGAGCTGTGCAGCTCTCTGCCTTGGCTGGAAAGCTACCTGGATAATCCAAGGGCTGAAGTTTGCACTCAAATATTTACAAACCCCTGTGCTTTTGAATTATACAAGAAAAAGGCTATCACAAGTCAAGTTTCACCATTTTGCAGCACAACTTAGCAGTCAAACTGATTGCACCTTTTAAGCTGGTATAAACCTCTTTCCTGAGCAAAGTCCTTTGTATCCACTTTTGCCAAGTACCTTTCTTTTTTCCCCCCTCCAGTTGATATATAAACCTCTGAAAATAAGTTTGAGGGGAGACTGACAACCCTGAAACCTCAAGAGCAGCATGGCATTGACGGGTGCTGCTCCCAGAGCCGAGTATTATAGCTAGATTTTAATTTCATTTTAACAAAATAGCTGTCTCCAGTGGAAGAAGCATCAAGAGCTAAATGAGGACCCGTCTTGAGCTGAATCACGTTGAACAGACCTCGGCACTGTCATTGATTTTCTGGGAAGAAAAAAAAACGCCTCTGGCTACTAAACCAAATTAGTAGTCACTGATGACCAATTATTTTGCCCCACTGTGAACGGAGAGGCGTACTAAAATTCCAGTTTGTCAGACCCAAGGCTCTCTTCTCAAACACCTTTCAACAAGCATGTACCAAAAGTCCCTCAGATGGTTCTGACGCCTTCCTGTTTTCGGCAACTTCTCCTTCTCCAAAGTTTTAATGAGCTGCTGGCTCTGAGGACGGCCTGCCAGAAAGTGAGCCCTTCCCAGCTCGATAGAACACTATTTGGCATGGCACAAATCACAGCTGTCAGAATTCATACACACATACACAAAAAAAATGTCAGCCTAATGTTTGCAAATTATAATTACCATTTCTCTTGCATGTCCCTCGTGCCTTCATTTCAGATAAATCCCAGCTCCGAGGTATCAGCTGCAAAGCACTGAAGGCTCATATTGAATGGAATAGATTTAACTAGTTTGTAGCTCATTTAAGGCCTACACCGTTTTATTTTAATATTGTTAATACTTTATTATACTTTTTAACATTGTTTTTTACAGTAAAATAGCCTATTAGGAGGCTGCAGCTTCTTTTCTAGGAGATTTCTGGCAGCCTTGCATACCACATCGTATAACCAAGTTAGCAGGTGCTTGTCATTTCAGTTGAAAATAGGTCTGTACCCTGGCTCTTGAAAGTAAATTAGAGAGAGAGTCTATTAAAGAGACAGGAACTGTTTCAGGGATAATAGTTTTGAAAATGTGCACAGATATATCTTAAAATATTTAGGAAATGTCAGCATTAGAAATGGCTCCAACTATTTGACTATAAAAGGAAGCATCTGATTATTTTTTCCACAATTATAAATAATTCGTTACATCCTATCAGAACTTCTTCCCCTTTCCTGCCTGTGGCAGGGTGGTTGTGCCAAAACAAGGAGATCTGAGTGACTCTGAACGAGATGGATTTTAACCCACAATAATTGTTTTCAGCGGATGCTTCCCCCGATCTCCCCACAGCATCCCCAGATGACAGCAAAATCCTCTCAGTCCAGAGGGGTGACATCTGGGCAGGGTGACAAAAGGAAACAGAACACACAAGCCATTTACTCCTGTCCTTAAGTAACACTAAGGCAAGAGGACGTTTTCCTAAAGGCCAGCTACAAATGAGAAATCCTGTCACACTTCCAAGCGGCACCGATACCGAGGCCAAAATTCCCCATCCACTCCGATGGGATCAGTGTTTGACCTACAAAGAAAAAGCCACCTCGCTGAAATTTCTCCAGTGACTTCAGTTGAAGGGTGTTACCTGATATCCCCTGTTCTTCCCCTCTTCATCAGCATTTCTCTCACAAGAGGCAGGAAAAGACAGATGAAGCTTCATGTCCTACAGCCCCACCAGAGCTTACGTGCATAACTAAGCACACGAGCCATTCCCACTGATTTCAAAGAGGCAGTTCATGCGTGTATCATTCCAGGCATGATTCTATACTTTGCTGGATCAAGACTTAAATGCGATTAATCACACGGCAGGGAAGGATCTCTGAAGAGCACCAACCCAAATGTGTCCTTTCACGCATTTACTTACAAGCCAGCTGTGGACTAATCAGTCACCAACTGGCTGGTCCAGTGGAGATGGTAAAAGTCACCTCCATAGAGGTGTGAAAACACATTCAGCTACCACAAAAATCAATAATCAAACACTACACACAAAGGCTCAACATTTTCCTCTGTCCCTCCCTGCTACTTCTGCACACCAGGCAAGCTCCTGCCTTGGAGAGCAAATGGACAGGCCAAGGAAACAAGCTCATGTGCAAAGCTCACCATATGCTTGTGCCAGAAATCCCAAGATTTACTCCATGCAATAATACTGGAGACCTACCCAGAAAATAAGACACTTGACCACAGGTTTGCCCTATCTTTCATCCTTTGCAAATGTTCCACCCTGCTCTGATCAGTAGGAAATTCCAGACTGGAAGGGAAAGAGAAGGGACAACAAAGGGTAAATGTTGGGTGTCACCTTTGGCACTGGGTGTCTCCAGATAACAATCTGGAGCAGCACAGCTGATTTGTAAGCAAAGCCCTGAAAAGCCCTGCAGCATGTGATCTATGAAACAGGAGGTCTGCAGAAGGATGTCTCCTCTGATATGAATGCCCCCTCGGGATGTATATTGCTGGATTGCACATCTAGTATCATTAGAAAACACGACCATAGATTAGGCTGTTTTGAAGCATGTGGTGTGCAATAATTAAGTAATAAAAGTCACCACAGGGGTGGAGGAACAAGAAACGGAAGAGTTACTATTTGCATATGCACTGCTGGTGCCCTCTGTGATAGTCAAAGATTCCCGAGACTGCTAAAAGCTGTCTGCTACTGATTTTGGACCTACTCCTGCCAAAAGCCATGAAGCACCAGCTCACCCTGTGGCACATGGGCTCTCTAGAGAAAACGACCTTCTGGTGGAGATGGTGGCCCAGAAACAGCCCAGCAGTTAGTTCTGTCCCCCAATGTCTTCCAGTTGGTCTGAACAGGCAGGGAAAGCACTGCCTTTCTGTCACAGGAGCTGCAGCTGAAGGAGCTGCAGGCTACAGGTGGGAACAGAACTGGGGCTCCACAGTCCTTGGTTGCTGCCAAGGTGGAGGAATCCCTCCCCAGCAAGGTGTACAAGAACAAGGACCAATAAAACTTGAAGCTGGAGTCCTCCATCACCTTCAAGTGTTTGCTTCTGTGGGGAAAGAACAGCAGCAGGACCACAGCGATAACTGATATGCTGTCCTCAAGGCAAGAACCCTGCTGCTGCCACTGCCAGTTCTGCCTCCCATGCTGATGAAGTATCCTCACTTGCGAGGAGCAAGACTCAACCATTTCAGGCTGCAGCTCTGCCACAAGCTGGGCAGGTTAACCCCAGCTCAGAGCAGCTGAACAGGACACTAGCCAGCAAGCAACTGCCTTTTATTTTCCCTGAACCATGCTCATCTGTCGCACCTCTCTGCTGCTGTCTTCTCCTGGCCAGGATGCTCCTTGGTATGCTGCTTCAAGGGGCAAATGTATCTGTGCAGCTGAGGTACTAGACCAGGGCTTAGCGTTCCAGCTCCCCTTTCTGCTGCCTTGAGTCAATTTTTATCTCTATTCAGACTGCTCAGGACAGCACTTACTCCTCTCACCCAATCAGTCATTCCACGTGTTTGTGGGGTTTGGTATACCACAGTAGTGATATTTCAATTGCAAACCCAGTGTTATTTTAGCAAAACCTACTTTGCACCCAGTGGTTCTTCCACACAGCTCCCATGGCTGCGTCAGGCTGGAGGGGACCCAGCCAGAGCTGCTCCTATGAGCCCCAGGGTGGCAATGCAAAAACCCAGTTCTCTGCCTCCAAACATTGCTCCATTCAGTGCTTTCATTACCCATCATCAGGTATCAGCTGGGAAATGTTCTCCTGGAGCCATAGCAGGGCCCAAAGCTGAGCCACAGTTGTGGTGCTTTGTGCTTCCAGCACACTGGGGCTTGAGGAGAGATGGCAATATGGGCCCTGTAAAGGGTTGTGCAAAGATAGAAATTGTGCCAATTCTGGGCAATGCTCTAGCACAATCATGCTACAGGTTATAACAAGGGCATGCAGGCTGTGGAATATGAACTGAAAATGCATCTGCATTCAAGGCTTTCTTGAGCAAGAGAAAGCCTTTTCCAATGTGAGTGTGGCCGATTCTCACCAGTCACACTTTCCAAGAGCGGAGGTATGAATCAGCATGGGGAGGTAAAGAGATATTAACACTGGGGATTATACTGTCATCTTTTCAATGTTTTGCAGGTCTTGCACTCCCTTTTTTGACCTCCTCCACCACAGATACCAGCAGCTGTGGATGGAGCAGCAGAGAGCCCTGACAACAGCGGAGCGAATGGAAAAGAAAAAGGTGATAATACTCCAGCAGTGCTTACCCTTGCTGTGCATAGCACTGCTACCCCACAATGGATGGGCTTCCCCCATCTGAGAAAGCATCCTCCCTGACTACTAAAAGGCTGGTGAAGCCTAACAAAGATGAGCTGCTTCCCAGATAAGATGGGCCTGGCTTCAGCCAGAGCATCCACTGTAGGGGCAAAGACCAGATATGCAAGTCACAATGTGTGTGCTCTAGAAACCAAAGAGAAGGTGGTGTTTGTGGGGTTAAGTATTCTTGTATCTGAAGCCATGCATGGGAGCTGAGCAAGTTCTTCAGGGTAACAGTGCTTTGGCCAAGGCCTTTCAAAGGCTTAGACACCTACCCCACAGAGATACTTTTCTAGCCATCATCAAATATGTCTGCATCAATATGCCTCTAGGTACAGGTTGCCCAGCTAAATTCCCAGTGTCAACTGAAACAGAGGCTCTGGTTCTTTTTGCATTGCTACAATAGTAAAACACCCTGCTGTGACAAAGAATTAAGTTTCAAATTATCTTCAGTGTTTATGTTGTACTTATGCCAGAAGCTTTGCAGGCTATCCTTTGGACAGCATCAGCTCTGCTCAGCTTACCTGTGACAGTGGACAAAGCAATGGAATAACCAACAAATGGACCAGCATCAGCTCTGAACCTGGCATGGTGTGGTTGATGCCAGCACCCAGAGCAGTTGTTAGAGTGCATTGCTGTGCTGTTAAACAAGCCAATATTGTAAGAACATTTAAAAGCAGCCAATGACTGTTTTATTAGTTAATGGCTCAAAGAAGAGTTGAGCTAATATGGTAATGACCAATTTCAATGGGCTTACTGCCATCACAAACTATGCTTTATAGTTGAAGTGCAAGAATACAATGTTCTTAATTAGCAGCTACTTTATGAATACACAAGCCTAGGGTGCTTAAAACTGCATCCCTACCTTCTCTACTAATGATAGATGTTTTTAATCACTAGGCTCCCTCCATCAAGTTCCCAAAGCCTGCAGCCACCAATTATCAGTTAAAAACCCACATCCTAGACCAAAGAGCAGACAGATTCCCTAAGGTTTCACATGGCTAAAACATTCACCAGGTACCTGCACTGGCTCATGCAAGAACTATGAAGCACTGCAAGCTGCAATTAATCAGGAAAGCAACACACAGGACAGCCAGGAAACCCTCCTGTAGTGGGAGTGGTAGAAGTGACTTTCTCAGCTAGTGATGAGCCATTGCTCTAGCTCAGAGCGCAGGCAGCAGTCATCTCACTGGGATGCCATATAAAGCAGACACAGAGCTGGAAGCTGCTCGTGTTTGTCTCATCAGTATGTTTTAGGTATCAGTACTGGCTGTGTAGGCATGGAAAAAAGATCAGGCACTTGTGATCACCCAAAGAGACTTTTAGTCTTGCTCACCTCTGTGTCATTACACTGCTTATATATGCCTATATACCTTATACATCATGACACTATCCTGATGTCTATAGATCTGCACCCATTTCAGCCCATTCTTCTTTACCTTTGGTTGCAGAAAGAGAAAGTGCGTGAAACTCGCACCACATTCCTGCGAAAAAACCCACTGCCTCCAAAGGAGGAGTCCTTCTGGCACCTGCCCAGCTTGGAGAAGGTATGGAGCACTTGCCTGCACTCAGGGACACCTTCTAACCTTGCCCACATGCCCTGATAACACACAGGGTCTGGATAGGAGATACCTTAGTACACAATGAAGGTAGACACGAGGCTCTTCCTCAGAGCTCCCAGAGATTCAGACCCTAAATGATCCTGTACTGGATACATTCAAACATCAGCCCGTTTTGGACTTCAGGGTGGTGTACTTTTTGCAGCCATAAGACCTGGAAGAGAGGCAGCAGATGCCCAGATAAGGGTTTAATGACTTATTTTCTAACTTGTGAGCACTTTCATGCCTTTTCACGAGATGAAAAGCATCCTTCTATGTCCTACAGTACTAACAGTACTGGGTTGGCCTTTGTTTTCTGCTGGTATTCCCACAGCTACCCTCCACAAGCAGAACAGTCAAACATACATTTTGGTAGCCTGCCATTTAACCAGCTCCACAATAATCAATTTAAACCACATCAGAAGTTCCAAGGAGAATTTTTCACCCCAAGAAATAGCTTTCCAGAAAGCCTGCACTTTTGAAACCTCTCTAAACTACCTGATTGACAATATTCACCCTGAGACTGAGCAGAGGGTCTAGCCAGGTTATAGATGTGCATGACACTTCCTTTAATTGATCCAAATCAGAGCTAAGGTGAAGATTTCTTGTTCTGGCAATGGGATTTAAACACCTCCCTGAATTCATCTGTGCATCCTGCTATGCTCTGGGGTAGTTGTTTGTATTCTGTTAGCTATGTTTGTGGTGTAAATTATAGGGAAGCTTCAAGTGAAGAGCTAGGGGGTATTTCAGGAAGGAAGGGAAAAGAGCTGGGCAAGCAGAATAGAAGGGAGACTCCAGGAAGTCTGAAAGCACTGAAACCCTGCAGGGAGTTTACGTGGCCAAAATCATATCTGGCATTGATAGATACCACTGCAAAGAGCCTTTCAGCTCTCTGCCTCAGCCCTTGTTCTGATGGGGTTATTTTTTTTTGCCATGCTGTTGATTTTTACCTGCAGTTTAAAACAACAAAGAAGGCTTGTGACTTCCTGAAGCTAATTTACTTGTACAAGTTGGAGAGTTTCAACCAAGAAATGCGTTTTGCACCACCTTGATGTATTCCTCTTACGTCCTGTCTAAGACTGTCCGATTAGCATATGTCAGTAATCATTTATTCCCCACTGCCTGTCAGCACAGAGCTGCTGCTGCAGCTAGTGTCAGGGAAAGAACATGACCGATCGCTGTTAAACAGATTGTGTAAGTCACACGAGATACTGGGGCAAGCCTCCTCTTTAGAGCTCCTCTCACCCCAGACCTTTCCATCACTATTCATTTTTCAGCCTGTGTTTTTCTTCATGCTTTCCCTTTTGTTTCATCCGTGACTGCGGTTGGGTTTCTCCTCCCAGACACAGCTCACAAACCCGAGTCTTTGCTTCTCCTCTCTGCTTTTCTCCTTCCTCTCCTCTTCCCTTCCTTCCCAGAAGCAGCATCTGGGCAGGAGGGACAGCTCACTTTGCACAGCCCCTGTAGATTTCCTGTACTCCTCCTCTCTCATTATGTTAACCTAGAAGGTTTGCCTTTCCCCAGCTGCAGATCTAACAGGCACAGCCCATGTTAGATCTTGGATCAGGAAACTCATTATTCACTTGAGGTTCAGTCGTGGGTTCCTCCATAGAAAAATAAGTTCTCTTGATCATCCATAAACGTTTACCCAATTAGAAGCAACCCTCAAAAAGTTAATAGTTCCAAAGACACTTGGTAGCCTCCAAACTGTGCTGTAACTACCTCTGTAAAGCTGGTGGTAGAATGGTCTTGAAAGGCAAACTGGACCAACCTATTAACCAGACTCAGGGTCTTCAGGGGTCACTATCAATTCTGCCTTTATGAGGGTGACAATAGAGAGCAGTGCTCCAAAGTGAAGGACCTTGTTCTTACAGCCTTTCTGTCCTCATGAAACCTTTTTCTCAAGGTTTTCTATGGTCATGGATAACTACTTTATGGCTTTATTTCTTTTAAGAGCCAGTGCCCTGTGAAGGCCAGCAGCTGGCACTAACTGCTGTAGGCAGTTTACTAAAATACTGTCTTTAATCCATACAACACCCTCATCCTACTGCTCAAAAAGGGGTAGGAAGAGCAACCACAAAAATATCAACTTCAGAGAAAGCTTGTTAGCAGACTCCCACCTATTATTTCCAGCCTTCAATGACACTGACCTGCTCTGGCTATTACAGAAGGTGCTCATTACCTGAGAACAATTTCAAACTTTGGGTCAACTACATTCTGAGATCCCACATCCCTGACCAGAGCCCCACTTTAGACTATTGTTCCATGTGACCTGAGGCTGGTGCAAGGATGTGATATGTCCTCAAGCTACTCACCCTTCTTGTCACTCAGTTACCCCTGTCATCTGGCATGATGCCTATCAGCCTGGCCTGCTCTGGGCCTGGGGAAAGCACTGCAGAGCACCCAGCTCCTGAGATCATTGTAGCCCAAAGCAGGGGGTAGCAGGAAGATGAGATTTTGTTCCTTTAGACCCATAGAAGTCATCAATGAGGGTTTTTCTATTCCCATCCTGACCCCTTACAGAGAACTGCAGAAACTGGGCGTGGATGTTAACACTGGCTGTTAATCTGGGTTTTCCATTCAGTCCCTGCAAGACTATCTCCTGGCCCCATGCTAGAGCATGCAGAGGAAGCGGAAGACAAGAAAACAAAGGAGCTTTGCCATCCCACTAATTGCCTCTGCTTGCTCCCTGCATTGCCAGGGCTGCATGACATTACGTAGTCATTCAGTCAGTAAAGTATAGACAAATTGACTATATTTTCATTTGGATTTAGGTTTCAGCCCCACTGCTTTAGAATAATGACCCACGCTGTTAAGCTAACCGGGTGATTTACAGGCTCTCCCACACTGGGTGATCGCTCCTGTTCCACGTCTCGCTCTGGAGGACTGACCTGGCTTGCGGTCTCCTGGGCCCTCCAGCTCGCTGAGACAAACAGGTCGCAGGGAGACAGTCATGTCCTGATGGGCAGTTCATTAGGGAAAGTTGCTGAATTGGAGATTTCTTACACAAAACCAAACAGAAGTTAACTCCTTGCTCACCTCAGCAAGATTCTCCACTGCCCTCCTCTTCCTCAAGTCAGCTTTCCCCAAGACAAACAGCCTCTGCCTTGCTCTGCCTGCAGTGACACGATTCCCAAGCTCAGATTTTGCCAACACAGCTGGGACTATGGACCAAGACTTCATTTATTTGTAGATGTGGGACTATGTTCTGTACCTCAGGCACCCAGCATGGACATAAGTATATCCCTGCCCCCAGTGCTCATGGGATGTATCCTATCCCTGTATCACTCATCACTACTCATCACGCATCCAAGCAGAAGGACATCAAACTCTGGAGAGGATGTTGTTGCCTAAAATACAGCATCCCCACAGCCTTGCCTCTGCCAGGCCAGGGTGAGGCTCCAGCTACCTCCATCAGAATATCTGATAGCCACAATCCAAACCAGTGAGTCAGGGCTAGCCATTCTGCAGTAGATTGCCAGTGTTCTGTCAAGTCAACCAGAAGGATTCAGGACAACACCTCACAGCAGCAATGTAGGACACAATTCACCCGCGTGTCAAAACAGCTCCATGCGTTGCATGTCACTGACACACATCAGGCTTTTTCCTTTGCTCATTAGAGGATTCCAACTTGCACAGGGTGGCTTTTCAGGGAGGATAGTCTTGTTTACTTGACCAAACAGGGGGAGGAAAGAAAACTCAACAACTTTGGACAACACTTTTGTCAACACATACTGCCTTCCCCAGCAGATGAAACAGGCTGCACTCGATGCGCGATATGAATAAGCGATAAGCAATTGACGAGCAAGTGTTCGGGTACCTTGGCAAAAGACTTAATTTGCAACCTGGCACTAAATCAAAGGCTCTGTCAACGGCTGAGCGGCTCTCCCGCATATGCTTGCGTTACCTGGGAAAGCTCTGTCAGGTAAATTTCCACTGAAAGTAATTAGAAGAATCCCCACTGTATAAACTTTGCAGCAAAATTCTGGGCTCCAGGATTTGATTCTCACCAGGGATCCGATATCTGCTCACAGCCTGATTCTTCATCAGAATTAACAGGTGAAGTTTAACACATACACACAAAAATGTTCCACATTTCTTTTTAATGCCTTACCTCTATTTTTGTCTGAAGAGCTGAACTGACAGCTCATGTAATCTTGCAACTGTTGTCTTGTCAGAAAAGCCATAGACTCTGTTTAAATAACCTGGGCTTAATACACACAGTGGGTTGACTTTCTAGATGTGGCATTTATCCTCCCCAGGTTTGAGGGCAACAAAATTTCATGGAGTTGAAGTGTTCCAAAACTTGTCTCCAGGGGCCTAAATAGTAGTTAAATAATACAGCAATGAGCTCAAGAGCTTTCTGTCACCGTGGTACCAGATCAAACCTCCCTTCAGATGGGATTCTGGCTGACCAAGAAAGAAAAAAAATAATCAGAAAATCAGTGTCACCTGGTGGCTGTTCAATGGTCCAGCCTTTCCGGTATCCCTTTGCACACATCCTGAACACTCAACTTCATCACACCCTAATGCTGCCCTCTGCCATGCTTAGCACTTCTTTGTGTCTCCCTGAAAGACATGGTAACCCATCATTCCTCTGCCATTTTCATTGGTCTCCAGCATCTCCCAGTTGACACAGGAAAACAACACCCCTGCACCATCTCCAGGCCAGGCTCCATCTACATCCAAGCCTGGGTGCCCAAAGACAGCACAGGCAACTGTCACCAACCAATGCCCATTGCTGCTATGGAGCACTTACACCTGAAGGAACAGATCTAGGGTGCCTGCAGTAGGGTAAAACCACACACACAGTGTTGAGTAACAGGTGAACACCAACCAGTGCTACCTGCTGTTTCATACACAAATCCACAGAAGTGCTTTTTAAATGGACTTGGGATTTCATTCATGGACCTATTCTGCCTTCTGCCAAGAGGCTGTTTACCAACAGACAACTTAGTTTGAAGTAAAACTTCTGCCTGGCATGAAAAAGCTGAGGATTCAAATCTCAAACACATGAGGTCAGTATGAAAACTGCCACTCTGGTCTGATACCAGGACATCTACCACGAGGGGTACACATTGTTACAGCTCCGGTGGGTTCACTCTCCTTTACTCATCCTGTTGTACATACCAAGTGACCGGGGAACTTCAGCAAACATCTGTGACCCTTATTTTCAGGTAGCAAAAAAACCCTCCCAAATCTCTGTGGGGCATTAAATACAGCAGCCAAAAGAACCATTTGAAACATTCCTACATCTGAAGCAGATAAGGATCATTTAGCCCAGACTCCCTTGTCCTGACTTTCCCTGTGTTCTTAGAATTAGAAAGGTGGGGAGAGAAAAAACTAACCCCATTCATTAAACCAGTTAAGAGCACTACTGCCAGGAAAAGCCGCAGTATTTGTAACCTTAATAATCCAACACACACCTCCAAGCACAGCTCATCTTGGACAAAATAACGTCTGTTTTAAAAGTACCTGCCTCTCCCTAACTTGTCATGGCATTTGTTGACAACCCTATTGAAAGCCGCTCTCAATGCAGCTGTGAAGGATCTTTCAGCACCTCTTTCTCTTTCCTAGACAGTTTTTGAAAGGAAAGGGAGGGAAAAAAAAAGCCATCAATGCAGGGGGAAAAAGGCATCAGCAGCCAACATCAGCTGATGAAGCGTCTCACCTGGGCCCCCAGCACACCGCCTCCAATTAAATCAAAATGGTTTGTTTTTAATGGTCTTTTACACTGACAAGTGGGCTATCATTCCAGGCCTAGAGAGCTGTCAGGGAGCCGAGGCAAATCCTCCGTTGATAATGCCCAATGCTTCCAATTAGGAGCCGAGGCCGCTCCTGGCGCACTAACGATTCCCCAGCCTCCCCCAAGGCCCCTTCGGCGCTGGCTGTTTCGTCTTCCCTCTTCCTCCATCACAAATTACTGACACAAAACGGAGGCGCCCCGGTGCCTCCTCACCACACCGGGCCCCGGCCCTGTTGGATTTAATGAGGCGATGGAAGTTTGTGCGGATCTTCCGCTAAATTCTTTTCTTGTTTGACAGCTGCTTGAGTGTTGACCTTATAAAAGATTTAGTGTTTCTCATTATTTTCTGTCAAGCTTTACAAGTGATAGCTGCACGGAAATCATTTGCATCTCGATGTGCGCGCACGTGGGGTTTTTGTCTGTACGGGGATGCTCGGCACGGCGTGCGTCGGTGTGTACACCCTACCCCTCTTCACATTGTGTATTTTATTCCCTCCCCCCCCCAAAAAAAATATCTATGAACATGGAACTGTTGGGTTTGGGAAGAAAGAGAAAAAAACACAAACAGGAGAGGACTTAAAAGGCCAAGGATTTGTTGGACTGCGGTAAATGAGGGAGGTTTTGAAAAAGGAGTAGAGATTGGTTTCCCGTAAAGAGAGCTCAAGAAAGTGTTTTGTCACCCTCTAAAAGGATTCAGTCGAATGGAAGATGGAAAAACTAGGCTAGGCTAGGTGCTGCTTTGTTGTTAAAGTGGGAAACGGCACAAGGCTGGGAGGCTACCTCTGAGGAGCAGGCAGAGCCAGGCGGGTACTACAAAAGGAATAGGTCCAGCCACATCTCCCTGAAGCCAAGCATGGGTCCTACAAGGGCAGGAGGAGAGCCTGGTGCTGCTTGTCTCTTGCTTCAGCCCTTTTTATGGGCTCTTTCTCAACACCTCCCACAAATCATTACAAACCATTTAATCCAGGTACATTAATTAGCACTTCCACCCAGTAGCTAAGCTTACTGAGCACCCAAGGGTGCTCACAGTGCCCAGCACCTACCTCACCAAGCCCAGCATCAATAGCACCCACAAAGCCTGATTGGTCTCTAGAGTACATGTTCTGCTGCTGTCAGGGGAGCTCTGCCTTCCCTGTACCAGCTTAGTTTTTCTGCCTCCCACATGCTATTTATTAGTCCTCCATTAACATACATGCTACTGCTTGCAACACATACGTGGTTGTACTAATGCTTGACAAGTGATCATTTACAGTCCCCAGATTCAAAACATTATCATAACTGTGAAACCCAATTGAAAATCACACCCAAATATATATTTAAGTTTTAGGAATGATAAGGTGTTTTGTTATTGCCCCTCTAACTCTTTGAAGCAAGCACTGACATTACAACACCCCAGCTGCAAGGGTCCTGCAGGTTTTAATCTGTCAATGACAAATACAATGACCAAGAGCAGAACACTGCACCTAATCAGCAACTGAAAACCATCGCAGTTCTATCATCCTGCAAGGAAAACCACCAAGCTTCTGCCAACAAACTATGTTCCTGCCCTGCTACAGCCAGTGCTCTAAACCCATGGTTCAGACAAAATCCTGGCCTAACAGCCCATGTCCACACCAGAGCAATGGTGAAGATCATCAGCTGCGTCTAGAGGAAGTGTCTTTGGGTTCGTCATTTAGAATACGAATTAGAAGTATCGGAGATGAGGATCCATCACTGGCATTGACTTCTCAACACCAGTCTCTGTCATAGTAAGACCTTTGACCCAAGAACATCCTTATCTTGACTCTAATTTCTAGCCCTCGTTAGGAGAGGGTTCATCATTTTTTAAGCTAGCACTGGTCCCCTGTCCCACACCTGGTGCTTCCCACTTACTCATGCCGAGGGCAGAAGCTGGCATCCCTCACGACTTTGTCAAGGCTCTGCTAACTTTAATTGCTGCCAGTTGTGGCTCAGTGTGACATTGCTCACCTGGGAGCTCTCTACCAAGACTGGAGTGAATGAACTGCTGTCTCCTCCCTGCAGCTTCAACCCAGTCCCAGGCAGAAGTTCCCTTCTGCCCAGATCCCAGCACTGGTGGGCAGGGAGCAGGATGGGAAAGGCAGAGGCACATTCCAGAGAAGCAGCTCTGCTGTCCCTATCTGCAAGCACTGGATTTTAATAACAATCCCAGCTCCGAGGGAATAACTCCTGCATCTTTAATAGGAGGCTGGAGCTGTCCCACATCCCAGGGACTACCCACCTATGTCAGCAGCCCTGGGTTCTGCCTCTCCCACCTTTCCTTCCTGGGGAGCAGTTTATGTCATTGCTGCTACTTGTGAGAAAGCAAAAACATCCAGAAACAACTGTCTGAAGTTAGGCACTGAAATGCATACGTAAGTACCTGCGCGCCTTCCTCCAGAGAGGGGGAATAGCTAACTACGCTTTGTTTGTCTTGATTAATGAGATCACTAGCGAGCTTTCCAGGGCAAAGACGCCGGTGTATTTTTACATATGCAAAACCTGACATCCAGCCAGCCTGAGCAGGGTGGGGGAGGCAGCTCCGCACATCCACACAAGGCAGATGTAGGGCACAGGGTATTGCGCTGGGGCAGATAAACCCCTTCCACCCCGTGGTAAAACCACTCCATGCGCACCTCAGTAACTCTGCATTTACTGTGCAAGCCTGCTGCATGCAGCTGTGTGCAAGCAGCACCCCAAAGGGTGCTCACCCCAAAGGGCCCAGGGACCTTTCTCTTCCAGAAGATCTTGAGACATCACACAACCAACACAGCGCAGTAAGACTGCAGGATCTTGTTACTAGGGCAGAATAAGCATCTCCTGAAGTCAATCAGATGACTTCCCCTTTCTTTGTCTTGGGATTTGCTCACCCATCACCACCACACCAAAGGTGATTCCTGGGGAAAGGCTGCTTCTGTGTTCATTGGCCAGGTCATGCAAGAGCCCCTGATAGGCTCTGGACCCATCCTGGCCCCCCAGTGAAGCACACAAGTCCCCTGTTGTAGAAAACCAGCCATATTTATTTCAGGGTCCACCCTAAGGTGTGAGAGCATTTGGAAACATCACACAACCAACACAGCACAGTGAGGCTGCAGGATCTTGTTACTAGGGCAGAACAAGCATCTCCTGAAGTCAATCAGAAAACTAGCCCTCTTTTCAAACAGGCTGTGTTTAACTTCAGCTGGAGCAGCACCTCCCAAACAGGCAAAACCCTTGTGCTAATCCAGTCCTCTTGCTGCTTGTGCCACAAGCTGTTTTCTCTGGCTGGCTGCTCACTGTAACCACTTGTGTATCTGCTCCTTCTCTTACAGGTCAAGCCTCACCTCAGTACTCTTCCAGACCATCAGGCTCGTCAAAAGGCATTCAGTGCCACCCATTGAGGGGTGTCTGTGGGACACGGGCCCCAAAAGAGCCACACAGAACTGTGCTGGGCATCACAGCCCTTGGACCCTGTGACCGCCATAGGCAATAGGCTTTCTGTCTTTGAAAGTGTGCTAATGTAGATATAGCCAAATAAATCATATATTTGAAAGGGAATGATTCTGCCTCAGCCTGTTCATTGCTTTGTATCAGTCACACAACACCTTTACTCAGTCTGATCAGCACAATTCCCATCATGCTCAAAGTCACAGCACTCACACCAGCACAGCCTCAGAGGGAAAACTGTTCATTCTGCACAATTATATTAAATGCAACCATATCCCAACTGATATCAAGTCCATAATATCTCATAATCCATCAGTTCTTCTCATTTCTGTGCCAAATAAGCTTCCCATCACTGCCTAATTCAGCAAAGCCTGTGTGAAGGCATCTAAACATCTGCTTTGAGCACTCTGCCAAAGCAAGGCCTCACCACAGAGCCATGCCTCCTCTTGAGGACGGCTCCAGCCTGTTTCCACACCTACCCTCAAATAGCTGCTGGTGTCCCTAAGGGCAGAGCCACTTCAAGCACTTGCTGCACAAACTCCTCCAACACCAACTCAGCAGCACTGCACCCAAACCCCAGCTCGGTGCTAACACGTGTAAAACCCATCTCCTACCAACAGGGCATTTCACCTTAAGAAAAGATCACTTGGCAACAACTGTGATTAACTGTGCATCTCCAAGATTGCTCAAGGAATAATTAGTTACTCCTATGGAATCTGCTCCTCGCATCTATTGCTATAGCTCAGGCTGTACCACATAATATTTAAGTCAAATGGTAGCTTTCAGGTTTCACGTTCAACAGCCTGTTAGCACTTGGAGCCAAACTTTTAAACCCAAACCTCAAAAAGCAGAACACTTCATAACGTTAAACTTCATTGTTCAAGGCACGATAACAAACGGAGCTGCAAGGGCAGCTTTCCTTACCTCTTTCAGGACAAGGAAGGCTCCACAGCTGCTGCTCTGGCATTTCCCATGCTCCCTTAGGGGCAGCTCCTGCCTCAATCTGCTTTTTATACAGGGAAGCAGTTGGAGCAAACTCTACCCTGCCCACACCTGAGCTGAGGGAGAAAGGAATCACCTGCTCCACACAGGGGAAACCCTGGTACCTGGGTCCTTCTATATAGTGCAGGCCTCTAAATAGAACCCATCTGACGTAACCAGGAGGATGACAGTACGGTTTGCTGGGCTGGCACGGTTGGATTATAACTGGACACCTTTCCCACTCCCCAGGGAAGGGGAGCTGGGCCTTAACTACTTGTCCTGCCAAAGATGGCACAGTTAATGCGTGTGTGAGAAACACAGCCCGAGCCTTGCCCCACTGCCCACCAGGAGCCACCTCCAGCCCTTCCTCCAGCCACAGCATCTGTGCCCACCTGCACAAACTGCTCAGGTCCTTGGGGTCCACAGAGGGATGAAAGAACCCCCGGGGAGTCCTGCACCCCTGGAAAAGGGCTGCCCAAGGAACCTGCTGTGAACCAGGCCCATGGAGACCTCCTGGCCTGGGACAGCTCCAAGCCAGCAAAGACACCAGAACCCGAAAACCAACGGCAGAGCCAAACAAAGCGCGTTCAGGAGGAGAAGCGGCTCGGGGGGGGCTCGGAGCTGACAGAGCCGCCCCAAGCGGGCCCCCCCTCACCCTGCCCCAGCCATGCCCGGTCCCGAGCTCCGGCGGCTCCTTGTCCTGCAGTGACACCCACCGGCAGAGGGGATTTCAGCGCAGCCGCAGGTTCCCCACCGCCGGGCCCTGCTCCTCCCCGGCACTGAGACCCCCGCTGTTCCCCCCCCCCCCCCATTTCTATCGTCCCCTCACACCCCGAGCGGCTCTGCCCTCCGCTGTCTCACGAAGGCACCTTCGCTTCCTCACCGGAGCATCCCAGCGAAGCCCGTCCCCTCTGAGCATCCCTCCCTGCGCCCGCCTGGGCACGGCCTCTGCGAGCACCCAGCTTGGCTCCCGATTGAGATTCAGTAGAGCGGAGCCCCCCGGGAGTTTCCTCCCTCAGCCAGACCCTTCCGGATGCCGCTCTGGCACCACCAGCAGATGCTTCTGGACTAACTCTTGATGCGGTCACGGCCACAGCTCGGCAGCCCATTGCCCTCCAGACCATGGTCCAGCCCCCAGCCCCATCAGGGCTCCCCCTGCACCCCAGACCCCTCCTGGAACACTTGGAGTCAGCCCTGTTCTGTAGCCCCAGGACCAAACCTGCACTGGTGACTGTGCCAGGAGAGCCTGACCGTGTCCGTCCGCAGCACCGGATCCTGGCAAAGCTGCCAGAGTCCTAAAGCCAACCTGGGGTACAACTGGGGCTTGTGAGGAACTGGAAACCAAACTGACACCAGGGATCCCCTCTTGTCTGTTCCATGCCTGTGTACTTGGGAACTGGAACAGTCTAGAAAATGGGGTTTAAAGGCAGACACACGCAGGGAAGGCAGGGGAAGCAGTGTACACTGTTCAGTGGTCTGTACACGGGATTTCCTATCTGTGCTGGGAGCCACAGACAGATCATTTGAAGCCCACTTATCAAGTGATGCAGGGGACACACCACATATGGGCAGGATGAGTCACGTCTCTGCCTTGGGGAATCTAGTTTTGAGAGAAAAAAAAAACAGAAACAAAAACGAAAGCCACCTTAATAATAATAACAATAATAATAATGATTCATATTAATTCATGTCAGTCCCACTGCCATTAGAACATGAGAAAAAAAGTGCATGTGTAGCTCCAAGTATGGCCTAGGGGTGACAGTCTCTGTCCCCAGGGCCTTGGCCAAGGGTGGCATAATACAGTGTCCACTCAGGAATGAGGACTGGACCCCCCACACACACCAAAACCTTGCCCAGCACCAGAGAGTGGGCCTGATCTGGAAACTTTCTTGTGAAGGTAGGTGCTTTATTCAAGGGAAGGAAATACAGCGGCAGACCCACCAACCCAGCCCTGTCTCTGCACGGCTGATCCAAATCCTGATTCCAAACCCACTCCCAGGCCTGCGGCTGCCTCTGGTCCCATCCTTAACACAGACTCAGTGCTGGTCCTGATCCCAGTGCCAATCTCCATCCCAAATGGGTCTATTGGTTGCACAGGGAGGCAGCCAGTGCCAACACAGTTGCACTGCAAAGAGGTGGGAAACCCCTTTGGGGTCTCAGCCCCTTCTCACTGGGAGCCGTTCCTGCACACCCATCGCTTTGGTCCTGCCCAGCGGATGCTGCAAAACCGCTCCCCGGCAGCTCAGAACCCTTCAGCCCGGTCCCTGGCATCGCCGTGCCAGGGGGAGAAAGACGGGGCCGAGCAGCAGCGGGATCCCGGGCAGGGGGCATAGACCGGCCCCGGGCGGTGCCGATTTTGTCCCTGGGCTTATCCTCCTGCAAGGCTCTTTTGTTCCTCTGCCCCGATCCCAGCCGGCCCCGAGCCTGCAGGGCCGAGGGCAAGGAGGTGCTGGGGCCCTGCCTGCGCCGCTGCCCGACAGCTGGCAGCCGGGCTTCCCGGGGGGGGGGGGGAGGCTCTCCCCTTCTTGATCGCCTCCAAGCTGCCGGCCAAGGGCGGCTTTGGAAGAGGGACAAGATGCATCTGCCTGGCCGGGAAGGTGGGGAACAGAGGAAATCGAGTCTTTGAGATATAACCGGCGACACCGCTTTCGAGCGGCGCAGCTCCACGCACCCGGGCGTGGACATTTTACTCGTCTCCACGGGAAGGGTCTACCCGCAGGAAAAGCCCCTAAATGAGCCCGCGAGGAGGAAGCAGGAGCCGCTGTGACCGGGAGAAGGTGGGAGTCCGGACGGGGAAACCAACAGCAACAAAACCCCGCGACGTGGCGGGAGGGAGGAAACTTGGTGTCTCCGGGAGAAACGGGCAGGGAACGGGCAGGGCGCGCTGGGCACACCGAGGGTTATTTAAAACGGGATGGACGTCAGGAAAAATGCGCCCCGAGCGCGGTCCCTTCCCAGTCGCACCGGTAGGCACCGCCGCTGGGCGCTGGGAGGGCGGGAGGAGCGGCCCCGGCTCCGGGAGGCGATGCCCGGTCCCCGGCTGCCCGCACTCGAGGAGCATCCTGCTTCCTCGCAACGGGTTTTGAGGGGATTCAACGAAATTCGCAGCTCCGAGGCTCACCGCGGGCTGGGAGCAGCCGCCTCTGCACTGGGGCTCTGGGGGGGAGGGGGCTTCGGTGCTTTCCCTTTTCTTTATTTCTTTTGATTTTTTTTTATTTAATTTTTAAATTTTATTTTAAGGCCCAGAAAAACTTTCCCTACCCGGGAGGGACCCTCAGACCGGTTAACTGCGGGGGGGGGGGGGGAGGGCGGCGAGCAGAGCGCAGTAACCCTTTGACAGCCTCCCCTTCTCTACCCCACATCTCCCCCCCTGGAATCCCCCCGCAGCTAATCATCCCATTACGAGCCCCATCAGCGGAATAATGACAGCCAAAGAGGGCGGAAACCGCCCGGAAAGCGGGGGGACCAGGGCAGCAATTAATTCCCGTTAATGAACCTGCAAGGTGTCGCCGCCGGGGAGTGACACCCCCAAACACGCGGCGGCCAATGGGCGCGTTCTTCCCGGGGGGGCCGGGGTCCCCCCGCTAACGGGGCAAAGCGCTTGGGGGTTCCTCCCCTTGAGCCCCCCCCCGAGCGCGGTTCCTGCCGCTGTCCGAGGTGCTGATGGCTCCGCCGGCCCCGCGGTGACTCCGGTTCCCCCCCCCCGCCGGGTGCTGTCCGAGGTGCTGGTGGGAAGGGGGGCGCCGCGGCGGCCCGACGGCTGGCCACCCCCTCCGCCCTCCCCTCGCCCTTCCCCATCGATTTCTGGATCATTAAGCGGTTAAGGCGCTGCGAAGCATCACTATCGATCGCTGCCTCCCCACCTCCGGCTGGGAGCCCCCCAGGCTGCCCCCCAGGCCCGCGCCACCGCGGCCCCGGGCGAGGGTGGGGTGGCCGGGTAAGGGGCCGGGGCCCCGGGTGAGGTTGGGGTCCGTCCCCTCTCACCCCACCCCCTTCGCGGCCAAAGTTTGACTCTGCCTTCCTCTCCCCCCTTCTTCTGTCTGTCTGTCTGTGAGTGCAGCTGGGCGCGATGCTGAAGACGGAGCAGCCCTGGATCTAACGCGCGGCGCCTCGGAGAGCCTTGCAGCAATTGTGGCCCGGATCCCAGGCTGAACTTTGCGCTTTCGTTTTCTTTTTACCCTTTTTAAATTTTTTTTTTTCCTTTTTTAAATTTTTTTTTGTTCAATTTTTCGTTTTCCCTCCTGTTATTGTTAACTATCGTTACCAAACCGCTTCCGCCGCACCCTCCCTGCCAATGCCCGTGTGAGCGCCGGCACCTCGCGGGGGCCATGGAGGGCTCCACCGGGTTTGGGATCGATTCCATCCTCTCCCACCGAGCCAGCAGCCCGGCCGTGCCCAAGGGGGACCCGCTGGTGGGCGACGGCCGGTCCCCGCTAGAGCTGAGCCCCCGCTCGGAGGGCAGCAGCGGGTGCCCCTCGCCCCGCTCGCCGGGCCGCGAGTGCCTGGAGGCGGCGGTGCCGCGGCAGGGCCTGGATGCGCTCCTCCAGCCGGGGCAGGTCTCGGCCCCCTCCCAGTCCCGGACCGTCACCTCCTCCTTCCTCATCCGAGACATCCTGGCCGACTGCAAGCCCCTGGCCGCCTGCGCTCCTTACTCCAGCACCAATGGACCTCACGGCGGGCAGGAGCCGGCGGGCAGGATCCCCACCAAGCCCGGCGAGGACTTTCGGGAGAAGATGGAGAAAAACACCAGCAGCTCCTCCTCGGACTCAGAGTACAAAGGTAAGAGCCGCGCACTCCGCCGGGCTCTGCGCGGCCGCCTCTACACGAAGCCTCCGGCGGCACCAGAGCTTCCCGGTGCGCCGGGAGCTCACTGCGGAGCCGCCCCGGTAATGAGGAACGGCGGCACCGGTCGTCTCCGAAAAGACCGCGGGGTCGGCACCAACTTGGGAAAACTTGGGGGGGCTCGGCGGGGCTTGAGCCGGTGGAAGGGGCTGGGGCGATCGGCACTTGAGTAAACGCGCCCGGAGGATGCGCGGGCGGCTTTCCGCAGGGAAGATCCGGCTGTTCCATTCCTTCTCGCGGGGAAAGAGGAGAAGCGGGGACGGAATTCTGATGGGGAAAAAAAAAAAAGCAGGGAAAAGAAAACAACAATAAAATAATCGCGGGTTTTCCGGGTATTTCCCGCTCTAGGAGAAACGAAGAAGAAATTCGGCGGGGGTTGATTCGATTTGTGTTATTTACATTATTATTCTGAGATGGTTTAAAACCGAGCACGACAGACAGAGAGCCCCGGGCCGCATCCACCGCGGCTGCTCGCCCCGGACCGGGGGCTCGGGCTTCCCGGGCCCTTGCGGCCCCTTCCCGGGCACGGGAACGGCACGGGGTGGGTTGGGGTCGGTCCTCGCTCCCCCAACACCCCTGCAGAAACTTTCACCCGGGAAAAGAGTTTCCTGAGTGCTTGGGAGGGGAAGGAGCGGGTCCCCATCGGGGGCAGAGAGGGGAGGTGATGGCACCGTGCGGGACCGCTGGATTTGCGGGATGCTGATAGGAAATTGGCAGGATAGGCCGAGCCTGGGATCGGACCCGCCGCTTTGCAGGGCCACGGTTGAGAGCAGCCGCGGTTCCCATCTTGGCCGTTGTTTTCGCCTCCTACATCCCCCCCTCCCCGAATTCCTTCATCTTTCCTCTCCTTCCCCCAAATCGCCGAGAGGAGAAGGAAGAGAGGGAAGAGAAGAACCGCGGGGTCCCCGCGTCTCCCTGAGCCGGCAGAGCTCAGGCTGGGGGGGTCCAGTTTGAGAGGGGGACCGTTACCTCTGGGCTCCTCTCCTGCCCCTGTAACGGGGCAGCCACGGCCCCGGTGAAAAGACCGCTTAAATGGGGAAAAAACATCCCTTATATAGGGGGGTGAAACAACATGCCTTAAATGGGGGGAAAACACAGTTAAAATGGGGGGAAAATGCCCCTTAAATGGGGAGAAACACCGCTTAAAACAAGGGAAAAACATCCCTTACATGGTGAGAAAAAACCACACCTTTAAATGGGGGGGTGAAACAACACACTTTAAATGGGGCAAAACAACATCTTAAATGTGGAGGAAACCACAGTTTAAATGAGGGTAAAACCACCTCGTAGACGAGGGTAAAACCAGCCTTTAGTGGGGCAGCCGGTGAAGGTCCCCGCTCCAGCTCGATCCTTTATTTTTTTTGCTGCTTTGGAAATCCCTGTTTCTGGGGGCAAATCGCCCCCGATTTACTCTGCAAAGGGGCTGCGGGGCTGGGCCTAACCCGCGGCGGCAGCGGCAGGATTTGACTCGTGCCAAAACGCAAAGCCATAAAGTAATATATATATAATTATATGTAAAATCATCGGTTTAGCCAGGAGCAGGGGAGGAAGATGCGGGGCCGCCACAGAGCTCAGCCCTTCGCAGGCAGGAAGTTTTCGGAGCCCAGGGGTAGCCCGGGGAGCCGGGCCCCGCTTTCCTCCGCGGCAAACTCCGCACAAACTTTCGAGCCTTTCCCGCGGGGGGAGCGGGACCGGGACCCCCCGCCCGGTCCGGTCCGGCCAGGTCCGGATGCTGCTTTCCCCGGGAACCGGAGCCCGTCTCCGCGCTCATCCCGAGCCGTGCCCGCTCGGCAGTTCTGGTTGAAGGGTTCCGCTCCCCGGTGGCTCAATTAACCGGATTATTGTCTTCCTACAGAGAGAAATCAGCCCGGCCCCGCCACCAGCGAATTTAACATAAACCCTGTAAAAACCCCAACCGCTGCCGATTTGTACAACCCGAGCCCGTTCGCTCCATCCTCTCCTCCAGGAGCGCGGGCAAGGCGAGCACGAACGGGGCTTTATTTTTGCCCAATCTTTTTGTTTCTGCTCGGAAATATCCCCTTCCCTTACTTAACGTTTCGCTGCGGAAACTCCCGCACCGCTCCGCCGGTGCCCATGCACCGACCGCGGTAACGAACGGCAGCCAGCCCGCCTCAATCCGCGGGTTTAAAGGTAAATAACAGCCCGGCCGCAGGCTTGCGGAGCCTCTTCCCCCGTATTTCGTTGTGCGCTAGGGAGAAGGGAGGTTTGCTCCGGGCCCCGGCAACATCCCCCGGGGTTCCTCAGCAGAGGGCAAGGAGCGGCTTCCCCTCCAAAAATGGGGGCTCCTGATTTTCATTTTGGGTTGCGTTTGGTTTGGGTATGAAAAAAATAATAAAAGGGGAAAAAAATGAAGAAAAAAAGAAAAAAAAAAAAAAGAGAGAAAAGGGAAAGGACAACAAAATACAACAATAACACCCAAGCATCGAGAAAGCTGTTGGGTTTGGGGGTACACCCCGAGGGTGCTGCCCCGTGGGAAACGTGGGGCGCAGGGCCCCGGGTAGGAGCGCGGCCGGGCCGGGGCTCCCCCCATCACCCGGGTCCTTGGGACGGGGAAAAGTCGGTCCCGGCTGGGGAACCCCGTGGGCAGCCGGGATTAACATTTACAAACGTGGCCTGAGCCCGGCTCCTCCGCCTCAGGGCTGCAGTGGGGACCCCCTCTTTTGAGGGTGTTTCTCTTCCCTTCCTGCCCTGACCTGGCCTCTCTTCCTCCCCCTCGGCTCAGTGAAAGAAGAAGGGGACCGAGAGATCTCCAGCTCCCGGGACAGCCCCCCGGTGCGGCTGAAAAAGCCGCGCAAAGCCCGCACCGCCTTCACCGACCATCAGCTGGCCCAGCTGGAGCGCAGCTTCGAGCGGCAGAAGTACCTGAGCGTGCAGGACAGGATGGAGCTGGCCGCCTCCCTCAACCTCACCGACACGCAGGTGAAAACCTGGTACCAGAACAGAAGGTAATAAAGCACCGTTCCCTCCTGCTCACAGAGATGGGGTCACATCCTGATCCCCTTTCCCGGCCCCACACCTCTAAACCAGGCAGGGCAACCCGCAGCCACCCGGCGGGACGTCTCTCCTGGCACCAGCAGAGGTGCGGTGTGTCGTTCTCCCACCGGAGGCCTTTTATCCCAAAACAAAGAGGAAATCGATGCCGAGGAGGGGCAGGTTTGGGGGTACAATCCGTGCCCCCAGCCCCGACAAGGCGGGGAGGCAGAACCGGGCTTTCCAGCTAAACACAACAGCATAACACATCGGCCCATTAATTATAGATACCAATTACTGCTTTGGGCATCAATAATTAACACCCTTTACAGTAATTACACAATTATTATTATGATGAACAATTTACGGGTGGAAATAGGTTTAGCGCTTCAGCGCAAAATCTGTGGAAAGGCTGGAGGTGAGGGACGGCTTCGGTGGATTTATCCGGACATCCCCAGCCCCATCACTGCCACCTCCGCGAAACGAGGGACCCTCGGCTGCACCACTCCTCCCTCCCGGACCCTCCCTCACCCCGGGTTTTAGCACACCCCAAACCTCTCCCCCGCATTTCCAGCCCCCTTCACCACCAGCAAAGATCCGCGACTTAGCAACACGTTGGGGGTTCGTGTATACGTACCTACAGACACATCATACATATACATATACATATACATATACATATACATATACGTATACATATACATGGCACAAACGAATACCCCCGCCACACTGCCCTACGCGTGTCCCCCGCCGGCCTCCCGCAGCCTCCAGGCCCGGCCCCGGTAGCCCCGTCCCGGGTCGGCGGTCCCGGAGCCCCGGGCGGCGGAGCGGAGCTGCCGGGGCCTCGGGCCGGAGCATCGCGGCAGCAGCCGCAGCATCACCCGTGCCCGGCGGCGGGGGCACCGCTGGGGGATCCCGCGGGCCACACGCGGTCCGTAACTCGTAACCTGGAATTCACAGCCCCGGAAGGGACCCAAATGCTGCTCGCGGTTTGTACCGCAGGGGGTTACACCCCGACATCGCGTCCCCATCGGGCTGCGGCTCCGGTGCCTCCGGAGGCTGTTTGGGCGCTCACGCCGGGCTGGCGCGGCGGGGACAGCAGCGAGAGGAGCCCCTCGCTCCGTTAACAGGGTCTATGTCCCCCCCCCAGTGAACTGGTCCCACCCATCGCATCCAATTGCATCCCGTCCCTGCCGTCCAGGGGGACTGGCCCCGGGAACCAGCGGCGGGGAGAGGGATGCACAAGGAAAAGGGGTCTGCAAAGGGTAAAAAGAGCGGCTTTTGGAGCATCCTTCTTGACCCTTTCTCTCGATTTGTTCCCCGCCCAGGACCAAGTGGAAAAGGCAGACGGCGGTGGGCCTGGAGCTGCTGGCCGAGGCTGGCAACTACTCTGCTCTCCAGAGGATGTTCCCCTCGCCCTACTTCTACCCACAGAGCCTGGTCTCCAACCTGGACCCCAGCGCCGCTCTCTACCTGTACCGCGGACCCAGCGCGCCGCCCCCTGCCCTACAGAGACCCTTGGTGCCCCGCATCCTCATCCACGGACTGCAGGGCGGCAGCGAGCCCCCGCCGCCCCTGCCCCCGCTGCCCGGCGTCCTGCCCCGGGCCGCGCAGCCCCGGTGAGCCCCGGCCGCCCGGGCAGCCCCACCGGCACCCAACCGGGCTGGAGGGGGCCACCCCGCCTCTGGGGCAGCGGGCAAGCGACAGACTCCCGCTCACCCCGCAGTATACATATATATATATATATAAATGAGACCTCTCCCCCCTCCTTTTTATAAGTATATATATAAAGAACGCAAGAAGCAAGGACAGGTCTGGCAGGACGGAGAGCCGGAGACCTGCCCCCATCCCCGTGTGTCCCCCGCCCGGAGCTCGGGCAGGGACCGGCTCTCCCGGGGGGGGTCTTTGCCTCTCCGCCTCTCCCCAAGGACCGCGGTGGGGACCGAGCTCCCCCGTCACGGACGGCTCCGCCTCCCGCGGCTCCCCGGTACCGAGGCACCGGTCCCGCCGCAGGGGAAGGGAGAGGGGAACCGGTGGCCCGAACGGAGGCTTTGGGACGTCCGTAACTACAAATAAAGACAAAAAAAAGAGGGGGGAAAGCGGCAAAATGTAAATAAACTGCGCAAAATGTACATGAATTATTTATTTGTGAACCCCGAGGGCGTATTTGTGTAAGTGATTCTTGTCAGTCTGTATCCCGGGGCCGGCCCGGCCGGGGCGGGGGGGGGGGGGGGGGTCCCGGGGCGCCGCTCCCGCTCCCCGCTCCTTTTTTAAATGTGGAAATAAAACTTCTTTACAAACAAACGGGTTTCGGCTCCGCGGCCCTTTCTTCCCCTCCCGCTCGTTCGCTCTGGCGGAGCAGCGGCCGCCGGGGGAAAGGGAAAAGCGAAGAGGAGTTTTCCCACCTCCCGTCACGGGGAGCATCCCCTCCGCGGCTTGTGTCCCGCTCCCCGGGGCCCGGCCCCAGTGCCGGCATGCGGAGCTGGGGGGCAGCGGGGAGAAGGAGAAGGACGGGGTTGATGCTGCCTGGCGCGGCGGTGCATTACTAACGCTAATGTTCAGTGTATAATTGCCTAAGTGCTTTAAACGATCGCTTTGGAAAATGGATTGTTTCCACCCTTTAAAAGTGTCGCTCACCCGGCCGCGGCCAGCGGGCCCGGCAGCTGGTCCCCGGGACAGCCGGGCAGCGGCTCGCGTCCCGGGGCGCCGGCAGATGGGCGGCGGGGTCCCCCCGGCCCTCTGCAGCCGGCGGCCCGGCTGTCTGAGCCCCCCCCCCCCCCCCGCCTCCGACCCCAACGATCGCCCTCCCCGGGGCCGGGTGCCAGCCCGACGGCCCCGTCCCGGGAGCTCTGCCCCGGTTCCCCCCACGCCGGTAGCCCCGGTCCCGCCGGGAGGGTCATTGTCGGCTCGGCCAAATGCACAGCCACGCCTGGAGGGGAGAGCCCCCGGCCTTTGTGGACCGCGCTGATCCTTTGCATGTGAATGGGGGAGTTTGGTAAATCCTCGGGCCCCGGCTGGGGCGAGGAGGAGGAGGAAGGGGAGGGGGGTTCGCTCCCAGCTCGGGGTTAATGAAGTGGGAAAGGAGTCTTTCAGAGAGGCCTGCAAACAACCCCCCTCCCCGGGCAACAAACCCCCGTCCCAAATCCTACATGGATTGACTTAAACCCAGGGGATAAGTGCTTTAAATTAATCTCATTGAATAAGAATGAGGCCAAACAAAACTCTTTAAAATCATATTAAAAATCTATCAAAGGACAACTTGCAGTGGGTGTGCTTTTCATTTTGCGAGCGCAAAGGCAAGGAGCATACAGCAACCTTCCTCCCATTTACACAGCAGGAATGTGAATCAAAGACGTTCTCTAATATTTAATTGTCCTTGTAGCCGTAGCAGATTCCTCCTCTGACATTAATGAAGTACAAGGCTTCGTTACACGTTTGTAATTGCAATATTTAAATTTGCCATTTCGCATCTGGAAACTCCCCTGGAACAGTGGGGCTGAGCCTGTGCTGTAGCACAGTGACAGGGTCCAGTTTGTGCCATGAGGATGGTGGGAGAGAGTGGGGCAGAGCCAGAAGAGTGGGGCTTCCCGAACCTCCCCTCCGGGAAGGGGGAACAGCCATGCTGAGCCTGGCTGAGAAGGAAGGATTGCAGAGGGGAGGCAAGGGCTGGAGCCATCTCCTCCAGGTAGATCTCGAAGCAGAGTCAAGCAAGGCAAGCTCAAAATGAATCAGTTTAGGGAAGACACCACAGGCTTTAGGCTCTCATCAGGGAGCACCTCACTCGCCACACGAACAGCATCTTCTGCAGGAGGATCTCAGCAGCCTCAAAAGCTGCTGAAGGCCCAGCCTAACCTCCAGCTTGTGTGCAGGGACCGAGATGGGGCCCCACTGTCCAACATCAGAACCCACCTGCATCTACAGCAGTCTGTGACCAGGCTGGAAACCCTGCTCTGGATTTCTAGCGGTTGGTGCCAAGCAGGCGTTATCCTGGCAAGTCCTCGGGGTGGGACAGCCTGTGCTGCAATCAGGTGAAGCAGTGTAAATGGCAGAGCTGAGAAGAAGCACTGATCCCATTAAGGAAACCTTTGGAGTATTGCACCAGCTCCGCTCCACCAGTTTCTCTCGGGGCTCAGAGACTCTAACAGACAGGCTAAGGGTGGCTGGTTTCAGCCCCGGGCTCTGGATCCAAGACACAAACAGGTCAGTGCAGTGGGTTTGCCAGGACCAAGCACAACCCCGGCTCTCAAGCCCCTTCTGGGCTTTTACCCAGCTTGAGGGCCATCTTCCTCTCCTCCTGACAGAGCTTTAATCGGGACCACCACCCTCAGACCAGAGAGAGAACAGAAGCTGCTCCATTGAACCACACACACAAATTCAGTGGCATCAGCACGACTGCTCCTAGCAGAGATATTCCATGGTTTCATCTGCACACCAAGCAAAATTAACCCAGGAAGGAAAGGCCTGAACAGTTGGAGCTTTCCCTGCCCTCTCCCCAGGCTTATGGAGAAAATAAGTTGTTGTGAACAGGGAGCTCTGTTGCTTTCTATCCTGCTTAGTTATGAGTGCTTCTCCACAGCGAGTACCAGCACTAAGGTACTGTGTTTGACCTAGACACTGAAAGTGGGCGCTCAATTGTGACCTTTGTTCCAAGGGGACCTCCTTTTTGCTATCCCAAAGCCCTGAAGTGTAAACTCAAGATGTTCCAGCTGCAGAGCAGGGGAGGACGCGGGCTCCCATTGCTGGCAAAGGACAGCTGAGGAAAGGCACAAGAGCATCTCCTGGGAGCAGCAGGACTCCAGGTGTGAGAGCAGGGAGTGGAGCAGCAGTGGGAAGGCAAACCCGGACCGAGTCCAGGTCTGACTCACAGGCAGCTTTATATAAAGCTCCACAGTGCCATCAGTTCCAGACTGAACACAGAAAATTCAAGCTGCAGGGCAGCAGGGCCCCTCTGCCACTCACCACAACCAAGACACAATCAAGCCTGACCAAAGCCAGCAGAGGTGCACTGCACACTGCCAAGAGCCCATCTCTGCACCCGTACAAGCCACGTAGGCAGCTCCCACCCAGCCAAGACCCCTGCAACACACACCACATACCTCAGAGCAAGAGGGAATAAACTCAGGAGTGGTTCAGGGTGACATCCACCTGCTCCATGCCAGGGCTGTGCCAGGGGAGCCCACCATGACTCCCCGCAGTTTGTCCAGCATTCAGATGCTCAGAGGACGTGGCTCCTACAGCAGCCAGTGGAGCTCTGCAGCGTGGCCACCCCTGCTCCAGGGCAGGTACCACCCCATGTCCTGCCCTGCTGATAAGGTGCTTTGAGTTGAGTACAAATTAACTTCAGACCTACCAGGTTCTACCTGAATTGAGTGATGCACCAGGACAAAGCCAGCACAGAGCCAAGCTAGAGCTACCAAAGTGTAAACAAGGGCGGACCTTGGTTCCTGCTGACCCAGCTACAATTCAAACACATTTTGCTTGTTGGCCTTCAAGCTTATTAAGAGCAAACTCGGCTTAGCTTCAGGTGTCTTTGTATTCCTTCTAACACCTTCTCCTTCTTGTTTCAACAATCCCCTCCTCTTCCTTTCCCTAATCCCACAAGTAATCCAGCACTACTTGCTAAAAGATGGTGAAGCTGGAAGAAAAAGGCATTCTATTTTTTTAATCACATTATTTATCACAACCATTTGTAATGTTACCTTCCTAGTTCATACACATGGCAATAACATTTCCTGACATCTCTCACTCACCTGCTGTTGGCCCTTATTCCTACTGTTATGAATTTGCCAACAGTCCCTATTAATTCATACGTGGCTGTCAGGAGAAGGTCATGCATTTTCTTCTCATGCACAAGCTCAGTTCTTCCCAAACTTATACTCTCTGCGTCACTCTCTCTGAGTCATTTTCATCCTCACAAGGTTTCTGTTTAAGCTGACATTTGCCTTAAACGCAATTGCTCTTCCAAACACTACTCACACCAGAATTAGGTGGGCTTTGTTGTTATTTTATCTTAATCTAGTAAATGCTGGTAACTTCATTATCTCTGCAAAAACACGGCTAATTTTACCCTGGTCTCTTTCTAACATCTTCCTGAAGTGCTAAGCAAAAGCAGCGTGTTTGGTAACTGCCTGGGAGGAAAAAAATATCATTTTGGTTCTCAAAGTTACATTCATTTCAGAAATTAAATACTTTTGGGAAATTGCTTCCCTCCTACAATGCTTACTATGACTCATTATAGCCCTGAGCAAGTGCCCTCAGTTCTGTAGTCACAAAGTGAGCATCATTTTCACCTGGTTATACTCCTTTTTTCTGTACTTTTTTCCTTCTTGCATTTGAAATTGCTACTGGATTTTAGCACTTCCTGGTCCTGCGCTAAACAATGTCCCTGGCTTGGGTCACGGATGGGCTGCTCTTCCTCATCGCTGTCCTCGAGGAAGATGCACACAGGTAGCAGAAAGCTTTGCGCTGTTTTCAAGTGCGCACTACTTGGAGCTAGCGTTATAGGAGGCGCTGGAAGAAGCACAGTGAGGCAGACGGGGAGAGGGAGGTGGGTGCTCACCCTTTGGTCCGGGGGGAGGTTGTAACTCACTCTCCCCTGTGCCCCAACTCAAGGGGAGCTTTATCACTGACTCCACTAGGGCTCAATTTCTATTTGGCATACTGGGCAACGGTGCATGAGTGTTGGTCTCAACACCTTTAGGCCATATTGCATCTCTTTTCTCAGTAATCCCAATTCTCCAATAAGCAAGAACAAGATAAAAGGCACATGTGAAAAGCAAGGAGTGAAATCCATAGCTTGGGATGTACTCAATATCAGCCTAGCCAAAGCACAGAGAACCCAGAAAGTTTAGGTTACTACTGGCAAGTGTTAGCAAGAGCCTGCAAAGGCTTTAATGTTCAGAAGCAAGACATTTCGTATGTGCTCTGTGTTATGCAATTAAGTGAGACCACATGCTGCAGGCAAAGAGAAGTCTGGAGATCATTAGATGCCACACTGGCTCCTTCCCACATGATGTTCATTCCCAAACTCAGGAGTTTTTACTTGAAGCTTTGTCCCCAAAGGGACCTTGGGTCACTACACTGAAGAGAGTTCTCCACAATCCTACCACTTGCACTGAAATTGGGGAGACTCTTTACAGGTGCCAAGATCTGACTAATGATCAGTGTTCAGGGATAGACAGCACACAAAGGGCAGGAGAGAAGGTGGCAGCAACATGGCTACGTGACCCAAGACAGGAACAGAAGTGACGCTATGCATAATGACAGGGGAAAGGGCAGCCTCCTCTTAAACATCGTCCCAGAACCTCC